AAAAAAAAAAAAAAAAAAAAAATTGATTTTTGTCCGGCCGGCTCGCGACCGGCCGGGGTCCGTCCGGCCGTCGGTTCCGGACGGACCAAAAGCCGGCCGGTTCGGCCGACCGGACAACCTTTGGTCCGTCCGGAACCGACGGCCGGACGGACCCGGACCGGCCGGAACCGACGGCCGGCCGGTTCGGCTGTTTCAAAAATTAATTTTTAAAAAATACTTCCGGCCAAAAAAAAAAATTTACCTTGTTGGAGAAGAATCCTTTGCCGAGGCCGTAGAATTTTTTCGACATTTTTTTGGATTTTTTTTTATGCTCGAATCGTTCGTTGAAGTTCGGAAGTTTAGAGAGATAGAAAGTTTAGAGAGATGAAATCAAAAAAAGGGTTAAGGGCAAAAGAGTAATTGGGGGGGCGGTGACTAGTAAAAGGGGGCGGTGAATAGCGATTGAGTATGTTTTACAGTAGTTGACCCGTATTTCGTTTCGTCTTTTGTACCTGAATCGCTCTCCAGACCTAAAATTGAGTAACTTTTTTTAATGTATATTCACAACAATTTTCAGAGTAGATTCTCAAAATTCAAAAACACAAAAGAAAAGAACAAACATGTTTTGGATTCACACAAGTATCTATACACAATGTGTGTTACAAAAATAGCATCTCCCACTTTTTCAACTTCTGACTTTTCTTTACTACTGTTGAAGGCTGCATTTTTCCTGGGAGCACTTAGAGAGGCCGGAGAGTGTTTTTTGGAGCACTAATCCAAGGAGAAGCAGCTATTGCGAATCTCCATAGCGCGCTAACATGCTCGGGTGAGGCATACTCTATGCCAACTCTGGGACCAACGAGTATCTTTTCAGGCTCTGGCCCGTCTAAGAGTTCCAAACCACCTATATTAAAACAACTCTCATTATCAACGAGTGTTTTTAGTTTACTAAACTACAAATTAATTAATACATAGCATACCAGGAGCGAAAAGAGGATGGTTAGACCACTCGGTCGAGATTCCCAGCGCTTGACCAACCTACTCAGATAAAAATATTATCTTCAGAGAAAACATATTGAAATATAATCATGGATGTGCAAATGATATAAAGTTTCAACTTTCACATTATAATCTTCCACATGGTCGTGCAGGTAATAAAGGGGTAGCCAATAACCATACTGCTTTAACAAATATATCTTTAAACATATTTTCAAAAACCAACACACTGTAATAATCAAGATATGAAAACAAATTGTGATAAATTACCTTCCCAGGACCGGCAAGAAGAACAGGTTTCTCAGACTTTAAACCTCTACGCTGTTGAATGGTTTCCAGTCCTAAAATAAACAGTAGCATAAAAGCACAATTCATGTAACAAATATGGATTTCTTTGAGTAAGAAAATATTATATGATAAAAACTACTAAGCAGCTATGTTACTCATTCAATATTGTGAAGAATCTCATATAACATATTCACTCCTCAATGCAAGTGTATATTATCACCGATAAAACTTACTTCTCAGCCGTAATGTAATAATCAGGTAACAATATTGAACTTATATACAAGAAGATGACTAAAAGTTCATGTTGCAAAGAACAGGCTTTCGGGGTTAAATTTACCACTGACAGGAGCACATGAACGAATGAGGACAGCTGCACCGAGTCCTTCCTTGTCCGCCACCACATTAAGCATTGTATGCAGACCATAACAGAGATAAACGTATGCATGGCCTCCAGGTCCAAACTATGGGCAATTTACGCACATGAATAGTTAGAATTTCGCAAAGAATTGCATACAGCACGGGCTATAAGGTACGATGATTATTTTACATTAAAGGGTGGTATGAATTTAGGGGAACCATTGTACGTGCACAAACACATGACACGAGATGCATGAAGTAGTTACCAAATATGTTTTACTCTTCGTTCTAAATATCCAACAATACTCTGTGATAAACATCTTAGATCTTTCCTTTTCTTCGATGTCTTAAGTCGTCACAAGACATGATGAAAAATCTAGAATAAGTTCACACTAGTTCGGGTGTAACTCTTATGACATATACGAAGGAAATTAACACTTCCAACAAACCCCTTAACGTAGCGAACAAGAAAGCACATACAAGTGAGGAAATTGGACCATTCTTAACAAATTTGGTCAAAAATTCTATGGGTAAAGCTAAACACGCAGCAACGCTTGTACAGAGCAGTTAAAGTTCTTCCATTTCATTACATCAAAACATTATCAAGAACCTCTAATCAAAATAAAACAAAATTTGAGTATAAGGCAGAAGTTACAATAGGAGATCATAAGTCCACAACTTACCACAGGGGCAGTCCTTGCCGTAATCCCAAACCGACCGTGACAAGCCGAGTCATTTGGCCTATAAGCCTCAACCTTTTGCAAACACATCAAAACACAAATACACAGACAACATAGAAAATTATCAATCCCAAGTCAAGTAAACCTTCCACATTCTTATAAACAACATCCTCAACCCCATAAAAAAACACACCCACACTCGCAGAGACACATAAACCCATTAACAAATCAGCGGTTTGATTGAGTGAGGAGAAATGATGACCTCAGTTATCTGAAGAATGACGTTATCCTTCCTGAGATATTTCCCCAGCAAACGTGGGGCGAGCTCGAGGGCATCAACCTGGTAGAAATCAGAGCTCAAGATTGGAAATTTATCCAGGAAATCTGATGAAATGGATGTCGTGGGCAGTGTTTCATCGTTTTCTCGCGAATAGTTTTCGGGTTTCGCTGTATTTGATTTCCGTTTTTGAGACACTACAAGGGTTGTGGCCGTTGCTGGTTTCTTGATGATTTTTGTTGAGCTTCTGATTTCGACTGCCTTTCTGGGGCATTGAGTTTTTTTCTTGTTCATTTGGGCTAGATGAGGAGAAAATGAAGAGCTTTTGGAATTGGGTCGTATTGCAGAGAGGAAAGGTTTGAACTTGATCGGCGTATGGAAAATGTTGAGTTCAAATGTAGAACTTTTGTTTGTAATCAAAAGTCAACATCATGTTAAGCCTATAAACGAGCCAAGTCGAGCTCGATTTTAGGGTGCTCGACCTCAAGCTCGAGCTCAAGCTCAAACTTTTAATGAGATGAGTGAAGCTCGACTTGTTAAATAAACAAGTATGAAATCGAGCTCCAACTCAACTAGTTTATCACTAAGAACGAGTCGAGTTTGAGTTTTAACGAGCTGAAATGTAGAAAATAATATAAAAATAATTTTTTCGAGCCTTAACAAGTCTTATGGAGCCCAGTCGAGCTCGACTCATTAACCAAATAAGCTCGAGCTTAATTTATCAAATGAGCAGAGCCAAGTCAAACTCGTTTAATTTAACAACACTAATTGTGTTCGTGGGATTTGTCCCTTTATAAGGTTCAATTTTATTTTTTTTTAAACAAATAAATACGTGTTATTCAATCCAGGGAGTTTCGTATTCCAGTTCGTTATCATGACTCGTGAAAGTTAAACTTAAATTTGGTTTGTTTGACAAACTTAAAGTAGACGAGTTGTCTGTGAATGCACGTATCGTGTTCACAAACATGTTCGACTTAATTATTCTTGCAAGTGAATGAACATATCATGTGCACAAACATGTTCGACTTAATTATTATTCTGAAGCATATAGAAAGTTAACGATTCAGCTAATTGTTTAGTGAGTTGTAGGTTTTTTGTTCGGCTAACTAACCATAAGGGAAACATATTTTTTTTTTCCATACACGTGTATATTTATTAGAAAATACATAATTGGCAAATTCGTAAGTTCAATTCCTACTGGATGAACAACAATAGGACCCTCGAACAATTCTATTGAAATATCATTGTAATAACCCGTAATTTCATTGGCCAAACTTTTGGATTTAATTTTATTAATTATTAATTTAATTGTCTTTTTTTTTAGTATTTTAAGAAGATCAATTATGGACCAAGATTTGATTTCAAATCTATATAATACCATAATTGTGTATCTTTCAAAAATCCTATTGATTTCACCTTCCTAAATTCTATTGATTTCACCTTCCTAAATTGACCCACTAACTAGTATAAATATCCTACACCCTAAGACTCTTTTTGACACAAATCATTCGAGAGGTAAATATTTTCCTCGTCTTCTCTCTCTCTCCCTTTCTTCCTTTCCTTCGTTCTTCCGTTCGAATTATCATTCTTCGACACCGTCCTCGGCCATGCGCCGTTATTCTGTCACCGCCGGACCGCCTTGCCGGATCCATGTGCGTGTGTCAATGGGAACGGTGGCAAACAAGTTGGATGAATGTTATTAGCTTTATATTGTTTATTTCTTAAAAATTCTCGGCAATGAATTGTGAGATTATGGAATTTTATCTAGCAATTTGCTAAGATTTCATTTGATTTTCCATTCCACAAAGCCGTTTGAGCACGAGATTATTCGTTAAAAGATATACATATATAGTATATATATATATATATATCCCGCACACTACACACATATCTACTTAATTTTCTTGTTTATTTATTTGTTTATTTATTTATTTTATTGCTATCACTTCTTCATTACATAATACATATATTAAACAAATACATATATATATATATATGTTGTACACACGCACACACCACACTATATTATATGAATAAGTATCTATATTATATACACGCACCCACACCACACAAATCTCAAAATATATATATATATATCATACACACACACGCACACACTACACACATATATATATTTATATATATATTTTAAACCACACACCAATTATTTTATATGAATTTATATGTATATTTAACATATACGCTATATATATTAATTATTCTTCTTTTTGTATCTACATAGACATAGAGTTATATCTATTTTAATAACCCTTCATCCGGATGAAGGGTTATTAAAATATATATGTGTGTAGTGTGTGCGTGTGTGTGTATGATATATATAAATATATATATATATATATATATATATATATTTTGAGATTTGTGTGGTGTGGGTGCGTGTATATAATATAGATACTTATTCATATAATATAGTGTGGTGTGTGCGTGTGTACAACATATATATATATATATGTNTGCCCCACTAAGCATTTTTGGCTTAACCCTTTCTATAAAAATTATTTTTCAGGTTGAAGGAGCCAGCACGTACTGGGGAAAGGGTCGAATCGTGTTAGGAGTTGTTATTAGTGAATTTCTTTCAAAATGATGTCCTCTTTTGCTAAGTTCTTTTTTTTTTAATTTATTTGGGACTTGACGATGCAATTGTTTTGAACCTTTGTTTAATATGAGATCTATAATTTTGGCCTATGCTTTCGCACTCATTTTGTTAGAAGAATCAAAGCGAGATTTTCTTTTATTAATAATAAGAAAGAATTTGAGGTCGTTACAATCATACTTTAAACAATAAGTTACATAGTAATATAAAAAAGAGTGTGACATTTAATTATATAAGTATGCTTTTATTTAATATAATATGATGGTCAATGTGTGCTTACGGCTTTCACAGTATAATTTGTATTGAGCAAAGTGGAGCTCAAGATTAAAACAAAACCAAAGGTGAAGTGAAAATTTTCAACCCATAGTCTAGAGGTGGTCGCGGGCCGGTTGATCGGAAACCGGCACCGAACCGGCACGGACCGGCCCATAACCGGCCACTAAAGGCCGGTTCGTTTAACCGGACCGTGAGGGCCGCGGTTCGGTCCCAAGCTGCTCCATTTTTTTTTTGTCCCGGCGGTCCGGACCGGGCCGGGACCGGGTCACGGGCTGGAGGCCGAGCTCAAGTATTTTTTATATTCTTTTTTATTTTTTTTCCTGCGAGCCGTGTCGGGCCGGGTCCGAAACGGTTCTTCGAACCAACCCTAAGAAATTGGCGGTTCGGTCCCGGGCCAAGATGTTGAGGACCGGCGGCCCGCCGGGCCAGGCCGGGACGGGTCCGGACCCGTTGAATGGCCATGTTTGCCATAGTCCATAGATCAGGAATTAAGAGTGTGTGTGTCCGTGGTGGGCCGACTCACTAACTCGTTGGCTCGCAATACCAACCGTGTTGACTCACTCTCTTCTAGATTCTTCTAAGAAAAAAGAATCCTAAAAAAATAATGGGAAAACATGGCCCAATGGGTGAGGTCTAGACCCTTCTCCATCTCCGTTTAATTTCTCACCGCCGCCACAAGCAAGACGCAACTCATTCCTACACTCACGCACCGGCGACCAGCACCAGACGCGATCTTACCGCAGAAATGGCAAAATTGGGCGAAGGCGACAAGCGTTGGATTGTCGAAGACCGCCCCGACGGCACCAACGTGCACAATTGGCATTGGGCCGAGACCAATTGCCTCGAGTGGTCGCGAAATTTCCTGAGCAACCTCCTCTGCAACAAGCCTCTTCTCTCCGGCGAGGGCAACCTCCACATCAAGACCAAGAAGATCGAGAAGCTCGAAGGCGAGGCCTACGTCAACGTCCGCAAGGGGAAGATAATACCCGGGTACGAGCTGAACCTGGTCCTGTCCTACGAGGCCGTGGCCAAGGATTCCGACGGGAGCTCGGTGGTTCTGAGCACCGAGGGTTCGGTCGAGGTGCCCTACATCTCCGATGAGAATGCTGGCGAGGATCCAGAGATTCGAATCACTATCAAAGACGATGGGCCAGTTGGTAAGAGATTGAAGGAGGCGTTTATCGCCAAGGGGAAGCCCTTTGTGTTTGAGAAAATCAGGGTGTATGTTGAAGCAATGGCGAAAGGGGGGCCCGCTAAGGAGGATTTGGAAGTTAAGAAAGTCGGCTCGAAAAAAGCGGCTGTTGGATCTGGTGCTGTGGCTAGTAATGCCGCCGATAGCGCTGGTTCGGGTGCGAAGGAGGTGAAGAAGAAGGAGGAAAAGAAGAAAGAGGGGTTGAAGACCATAACGATGAGCGAGAAGTTTAGTTGCCGTGCAAGGGATTTGTACGAGATTTTAATGGATGAAAATAGGTGGAAAGGATTTACACAGAGCAATGCAAGGATCAGTAAGGAGGTCGGAGGAGAATTTAGTATTTTTGATGGGTCTGTGACAGGGAAGAATCTGGAGTTGCAGGAAGGGAAGTTGATTGTTCAGCAATGGAGATTTGGGAGCTGGCCGGATGGCATTGTGTCAACGGTATGTGTAGTTGTATGCAAAGTTGTTAACTCTAGTACGCTCAAATATTTCTCTATGAACTTCAAAGATTGCTCTTTTAGACCAACAATGTTGTTTTGTATCTGCTTGTCTTATAATGGTGTGTTTGATTTTTTGAATTTGTTGAAAGATTGCTCTTTTAATCTGAAAATGTGCTGCTTTTGTGTGTTTGTGTCATAATGGTGTGCTTGAGTTGTTGAATGTGCTTAGTGTAGGTGTCATAAGAGATGATGTGCTGGCTTTATTTTGATGATTTTGGACAAATTTGATACTTTAGTCTTTCAGTTATTGGCTTATAGCTTGTAAGTGCTTGAATGTTTTTGTGAAGATTTGTGAATTGCATTCCCTTGAGTTGTGTGCTTGGGTTAACGAACAATCCTGGTCTAGTTCAGTTGAATAATTACGCTAACATTAGATTCGTTTGGATATTTGGGTTGTTGGGTCAAATTTTCTGTCTCTCGACGAAGAAGTATACTGAATTATCTTTCTTGAAAAGTTAAGATGTTGGAATTATAATCTGCTGTGGACTACTATATTCGATACCACTTTGCCTGTTGGTGCTAAAAAGAGGAAAAGTCATATTTATGAGTGTTCTTTAAATTGCGAATGTGAGAATTTGATAGTGCCCGAGTTGTTCTTAAAAGAGTATGATGATGAGATTTAATCATGTAGGTGCGGCTTAGTTTCGATGAGCCCGAATCTGGGGTTACAATTGTGAAGCTCACGCATACTGATGTACCTGAGGAAGACAGGTCAGTTATCTCTTTTCTTGAATATTAAATTTATCTTTCTCCTTTTTACGCTGCAACTCAAAGGCAATTGCCTGATTTAAATGCAGGTATGGTAATGCAACTGTTGTTGAGAATACTGAGAGAGGATGGAGGGATCTTATATTCCAAAGGATACGAGCAGTTTTTGGCTTTGGAATATGATTTTTCTCACGCATTTGTCGTTCTTCACTTTCCTACAAAAAGTGGGTATTTAGTTTAAGAATGTGGTCATCAAACCCAAGTTTTTGGGGGTGTTGTTTGAACTAATTGCTGTTTGGTGAATTTTTCAGCAAGAGTCATTTGTATTGAAGACCATTGTTTTATGTTCCAGCCTTTTGTTTTATGTTCCAGCTTTAATGTCTGTGGGATACTTGTTAAAAATCTTCCTTTGCTTAATACTATTGCCATATTGTTCTAGTTTCTTTATGAGATGAGGTTGTAAATGGCCACACCCTTTTGTCAAACGAGTCTGGCTCAACTTGACTCAAGCGAGCCGAGCTCGAGCTCATTTAAAACTCGTTTAATTAACGAGCTCGGCTCGGCTCGATAAAGCTCGAAAAGATAATTTTTATATAATTTTTTATAATTTGAATTGTTAAAACTTGAGATCAGCTTGTTAAAGCTTGAACTCGAGTCTAGCTAGAGCTTGATTTCAGGTTAGTTTTTGTAACAAGGTTTCGGCTTTATAGGCTTAGTTTCTGTACAATTTGTTTGTTTTTATTTCATAAATTAGTTCACATCTGTCACACCACTTATAATATTGCAGTGACATGATTTTTTTTTTAGGTTGTTTGAAAGTTCGGTACCCTATTAAGCTCATAAATTTAAACATTTTTTTTTTTATTTGATAGATTAACTTAGGTTTTATTTAGATAGATAGGCACATCAAATATATGATTATCCATTTAAACATCCCTAATGTAACAAATTGGTTAGTCATTTTGCACAAAAACTATGTAATAAATACATTTGTATAACTAATATCTTGAAACCAATCTATATATATATATATATATATAAAAAAAGGTTTGATTATTTTTTAAATAGTAACTATTTCTCTTCAAATTTTTTTTTACTATTTCGAAAAATTAATTTAACAATTTATGGTATATTTCAAATAATCACTTATGGAAATTGCGGCTCATTATTTAAGAAAATAATTAAGTAATAAAACAATTCATTTTTAAGATACCTTAATTACTCAAATCATGTGACTGGTTGATTTATCCAAATATGGGAATTTCGGCTGCAATATCAATTAGGTGATTTGATAAAAAATTTCCAACTAAATTGTGTAATTTATTATTTAATAAATGTTCTCATATTTCTTGTGTAATTCTTTTATGACGTGCATTTTTAATATACCTTAAATACGCAATTTTTGTAAATTCGACTGATCAATTCAATCTGCAAATAATTACTACAATTATAAAAATATAAACAACAATAATCAATTATGCGATTTGCGAAAATCTAATTTAAAAAATTGTGTTAATGATATTTTTCATTTAAATATTATTTAATAAATGTTATTCATTTTTTTTGTATTAATTACTCAAATCGTGGATAATTGAGAAAATAATTGGACCATAAAATTTACATTTTTAATATACCCTAATTACGCAAATTGTGTAAATTCAGTTGATTTATTCAATTATAATTATTTGTATAATTACTCTATAATAATTATAAATCTAGAGAATACTATGGTCGATATTTTTTTTGTAAATATGCGTGGAACATATAAAATTTGTATTTACTTGACACACAGCCCGTATGTTGCAAGAAACTGATAATAAATTACATTATATTCATTTTAAAATATGTGTCATTTTAAAATATTTATTCAAAAATTCAAAAATATACCTTAATTACACAAATTGTGTAAATCCTACTGATTTATTCGATCTGCAAATAATTACTACAATTATAAATATATAAAAAACAATAATCAATTATGCGATTTGTGAAAACCTATTTTAAAAAATTGTATTAATGATATTTTTTATTTAAATATTATTTAGTAAATGTTATTCATTTTTTGTGTATTTAATTACTCAAATCGTGGACAATTGAGAAAATCATTAGACCATAAAATTTACATTTTTAATATACCCTAATTAGGCAAATCGTGAAAATTCGGTTGATTTATTCAATTATAATTATTTATAAAATTATTCTACTATGGTCGATACTTCTTTGTAAATGTGCGTGGAACATATAAAAGTTTGTATTTACTTGAATAACATTGTAGTCAAATCGACATTTCGAATAAAATTTTTAAAATGACACCTATTTTGAAATAAATATAATGTAACTTATTATCAGTTTCTTGCACCATACTGGCCGTCAAATCGACATTTCGAATAAATTTTTTAAAATGACACCTATTTTGAAATAAATATAATATAATTTATTATCAGTTTCTTGCACCATACGGGCCGTGCACTATTTTAAATAGACTTGTTTTATTTAATTTTGCTCAATGTAAATTTAATATAACATTTTCACAAATTAATATAGGTAAATTGTATTACATATTGATTCTATATTTTTAATTTATAAATATTATTTAATGATTATTATTTAAATTTATAAATATTAGAGAATACTTTTTATAGATAAAAATATAGTAATCACATTATTACAGAAACAATATGAGGACTGAGGAGGATTTACTAGGGGAATTGGAGGGACAAAGTCACAAAAAAGCAAACGACGCCTGAGAGATTCGAACTCTCGCGGGGAAACCCCATGTACTTAGCAGGCACACGCCTTAACCACTCGGCCAAAGCGTCGGGATGATAAATTGCTGTTATAACATATATTTTACCATTTTTATTCTCTGGTTCCTTTAATCAATGTGAGTTTACCTTGATGAGGAAAGGTATGTGGCACCAATTTATAAAATCCCTGTTATATATCTTTTTCTTTCTTTCTTTGAACTAAAATTAACATAATAAAAAAAAAAAATTGCAATTAAGATGGTTAGCCAAGCTTGCATTTGCAGTTTGATTGAGATAGTAGTAAATACATATATTGTTTTTTTAAAACAACAAATATATTAATAACTTAAAAACTAAAAAAGAGTACATATCGAAGTGGTAACTGACACAACTAAAACTAAAAAAATTGGATCAACCCCTTTGAATTCACACACGTGGTCAAGGAGACCGCCAAAACAAATACATATATTGTTAATAACGTCACTTTTCTATTCTTTTCATATATGAGCTTTTTGGATGTATTGCAGAAAACTGGCACATATTCAAGCTCTAAAAAATGGAAACTATCTGACAAATTGCTCATCAATCTAAAACTTAGGAACAGTTATGATAAATCTTAAATTGGTTGTTTTATTTTAATACATTTATTGACACTACTTATGTTTAAAAAGAAACTGATTATGTACAAATTGTGAGGTACGGAGCACAAATGCACAATTTGTTGGGTCAATTGTTAATGTCCACACGCAAAAGACCTTTTGATTGTCACATTATATTTCACCATTTTATTTTGGTTCTTCTTATTTTTTATTTTTTATTTTTATTTTCTTGTTTTTCCTTTGAACTGTTTGTGGTCATATAAAAGTGTGTGAAGCAATAATGTCATATCTAATTTTACCTTTAGCATCCTTTTAGTTGTTAATAAAAGATATATCATTATTCTCTTTGCATGAATAATTTATCTATGATAATTATTGATAAATGGGGTGGTGATATTTATGTGGAAGGCATGATGTAAATTTTGATTTAGCATCCTTTTAGTTATTAATAAAAGATATATCATTATTCTCTTTGCATGAATAATTTATCTATGATAATTATTGATACATGGGGTGGTGATATTTATGTGAAAGGCATGATGTAAATTTTGATATTTAGGGGGTAATTGTTTAAGGGTTCTACATTAAAAAAATCAATCAAAATTTAATTTTAACCCAACCTCATTATTTTTTATATTATCAATATAATTAAATAATATCAACCAATTATTCTTACACATCATATCAACTTTCATTTTTCTCTTATTTTACATCAAATTTTTATTTAAATATTATTTTATTATGTCTACTAACAACTAACCATACAATCTTTTTTCATAATTAACTATAATTAAATAAACAAACCAAATAAAAATATTAACATTTAACTCCGAATTTGAGTGCAATTACCAAACTGCATAACATAAGTGAAGTCTACGAAGTACGAACACGTCAATGGCATTCCATTATTAATACCTTTTTTCTCATTTTCACACTTATGTTCTCCTGTCTTCTCCAAACGCATGTCTACTAACAGACACAGGCCAGCACAACAGCATTCAAGCGGCAGAACAACTTTTTTCAACACATAATAAATCTCACAAGTGCCTTGCTTTCTCTCTCTCAAAAGCCCTCTCCATTTCTTCCTACNAGGAAATCATACATATCTTTCAGGGCAACTGCAGAAAGAACTAAAAACAGACCTTCGTCCAACTGCCGACATGGTAGGCATAGTGAAGTACGAGCCAATCAACGGAGGCGCGTTGTTCTCAGACGTCAAAACCCACTTCTCAATCACCAGAGCCAAAAGAACTGTAACCGTCGCCTACGCCTTCGTCTCCATCTTCACGGCCTTCACCATTTTTCTCGCCTTCAGCCCTTCTGCAAACCCTTCTTCTCCCTGGTTCACAAACTTGTTTGCTCCCAGCACCCAGAGGAGCAGCGGTATTGCAAATTCGGACCCTTACCCCTCGATTTTTTCTGATGAGTCCTACAGATCTCATTTTTCTTCAATTTACAGTTATTTTTTCCCAAATTTATCGGGACCCAGTTCGGATAATAAGCCTTCTGTTGTGAAAAACCAGACAAAGGCCGAAGCTTTAACTCGTAAAGATGAAGTTTTGAAGCCAAATCAAACCGTGAAGAATAGCACAAACCCATCAAAGCCCTCAACAGAGATGACAAATCAGGCCCAAAAGAAGACGACACAGGGTGAAAAATCGCTTAAAGATGGAGTCTTTAATAAGTCAAATTCAAGTGTTTCTGCAAAAGGAGAAAATAGTGTTATGGTCAAGAATGTAACTTCCTTGCAGAAAAAACAGAATAATGGCACGAATTTGGGTGTGTCCAAAAAGGGATTTGATGATCTGATTAAGTCTCTGATGAAGTGTGATCTGTTTGATGGGAATTGGGTGAGAGATGAATCTTATCCACTGTACAAGCCTGGTTCTTGTTCTCTGATTGACGAGCAATTTGATTGTTTCCTTAATGGTAGGCCTGATAATGGCTATTACAAACAGAAGTGGAAACCAAAGGGTTGCACTCTCCCAAGGTATGATGAACCGGGCTGAATTTTATTTTTTCGATTTTATTCTATTTGTAGAAATTGGGTTACAATATTTTTCGACTATTAAAATATTTATGGTGGCTTGGTTTCAGTAGTTAATGTGTTTATTTGTCAAGTTAGTTGTCTGGAATTGATGAATCAGCATGTGCAGGCATTCATTTCAAGGAGACAGTTGAGGTGATTTACCAGTTAAAAATTGACTTCCAATTTTGAATTATGAGGTTATTTTGGATGTCATCCTATCATCAAGTGTCAGGGTGCAGAAAATTGAGTGTGAATTTTGTTGTTCAGTTCTGTATTCTAAACATTCTCATGAGGCAATCAATTTACTAATATTAGTAAACCTTAACATTGGTGATGTTTGGTTATTGTAATCTTATTATTTATGTTATACAACCATTTTAATTTTGTTGATGTTGCATTGCTTTCAGGTTAGATGGAGGTCATTTGTTGGAGTTACTGAGAGGAAAGAGATTAGTTTTCGTGGGTGATTCTTTGAACAGGAATATGTGGGAATCTCTTGTTTGCATCCTCCGTAACTCTGTGAAAGATAAGAACAAAGTTTATGAAGAAAATGGCCGGGACAGTTTTCGTGGAGAGGTTTCTTATTCCTTTGTATTTGAAGTAAGAATTTAACTGTATTAATCGATAAATAAATCTGTAAGTCTTGTAAGATTACAAAATCATTCACGGCACGTATTTCTGCTACACGAATTTTTTAATAACTTCTCTGAATTATCATTTGTTCAATCTTTTAAGCTCTGTGTAATCTTTATAGGACTATAAATGCACGGTGGAATTTTTCGTGACTCCGTTTTTGGTTCAAGAATGGGAAGTACTGGGAAAGAATGGGACAAAAAAGGAAACACTAAGACTCGATTTGGTCGATCAATTGGCCGATAAATATAAAAACGCAGACATCATCGTTTTCAATACAGGGCACTGGTGGACTCATGAGAAGACTTCTTTAGGGTAACAATACCATTTACTTTATTTTCGACCGTGCACATTATTTTGATAAATGCTAAAATAGTTATTTGAAATTTTTGTAGGAAGGACTATTATCAAGAGGGCAGCCACGTGTACAGTGACTTGAATGTTCTGGAAGCTTTCCGGAAGGCTACAACGACATGGGCAAGATGGATAGACGCTAATGTCAATCCAAATAAGTCACTCATTTTCTTCAGAGGCTACTCTGCATCTCATTTCAGGTACTAAGATGTTATATTACAATAAGTGATTATTTTATTTTACCTTTGGAGAAAAACAATAAAAAAGGTTTTCGAACTTAGCATTTATCTTTTGTAATCTAATTTGTTCTTTATTTTTTACAGCGGTGGACAATGGAACTCAGGTGGGCAATGTGACCACGAAATGGAGCCCATAAAGAACGAGAAATATCTCGCATCATATCCTCCAAAAATGACCGTCTTGGAGAAAGTTATAAGAAACATGAAAACCCGTGTAACTTATTTAAACGTCACGCGCATGACAGACTATAGAAAGGATGGCCACCCATCCATATACCGGAAAAGAAATTACACCGATGAGGAAAGAAGATCGCCATTGAGTTTTCAAGACTGCAGTCATTGGTGCCTTCCTGGTGTGCCTGATGCGTGGAATGAAATCCTATACGCGGAGATCTTAATGAGATTGAACCAGAAGCAGCAAGAGAAAAAAAAAATCGTAGGTAAATAATAATATATATACGTTTTTCGACTTTCTTGGCTGGTCGTTGGATTAGCACATCCATGGTGTGATCCGAGGCCATCGGACGGTAAGTGGCTGATGATCGAACGTGGTCGTGCCAGAAGAAACTCGCAAGTAAATATATACTCACAACCGAAAGAAATGTGTTGTTTTTACTATTTCTTTTCCTTTAAGAAAATAAATCATTTTTATGTTTTGATTTTGGGAATATAGATATGTGTAAGGAGTGTTTGCAGAAAATTGGAAATGAAAAATGAACACAAAAATGATTTTCAGCCTTAAGGCTGAAAAATCTTTACATTTTTGTATTTTTATGTGGTTGAAATGCAGTTTATAGTTGCTATAGATTTGTGATTTTGCTTCTGTCTTGAAATGAATAAGATCATTGAAGAAGCACATGGACTTTATCACCATAAGATTTAGGAGTTTGATCGATGTGCCGACAGGGGCAAGATCGAATTTTTCCTGTTCTTGCCACATGCTATAAAAGCCTCAAGCTATGATGAACGGTGCAGATATAATCCCCTATCTGTCAAATTAATAAGTGTAGTTTGACTCTTTAAGTCTAAGTTTCAAGGTCTCACACGGGATATATGCAAATAATTGATTTGTAAATTTAAAGGCAGCTCACATCAAGACAAAACTGTCCGTGTCTAGCATTATTATTTATTACTTCTAAACTTGTGGCCTTGTCACAACAATCGAATCTTGTTTGCTTTTCTTAAAGTTAAGTAATTATGTATACTACCCTTTTACTCATTCAAAAAATTTCATCATTTAAAAAATAATGTGTAAAAAAGAAGAATAACGGTAACTGAAATTAGGNATTAGGCCTATGGCTTCCTTTATGCTTATTCACTCAAACTACCATGTTTTTTCCTTCACACAAATTCTTGATAGCAGTGCATAAAAATTTAAATTTTTAACAATTAAATATTGACATAAAATTACAAAATACCAAAAATTTACATATAGGATTATAAATCAATTAAAGTCTACGCATGGGTGAAATCTAAACATAGAATTACAAAGTACTGATGATTGGATATAAAAAATTTTGGTTTTGTTTGGATTTTTTTGTTTGGTTTGGTTAATTTTGAAAAAGTTGGTATGGTTAGTTGTTAGTGGGTATATTAAATAATATTTAAAATAAAATGATTAAAGTTGATTTGATGTAAAGTAGGTGAGAGAAAATTTGAAGTGATGGTTAGTTAAAATTATGTGAGTGGATGAATAGTGAATTAAGATAAAGTGGTGTGTAAGAATGATTGATTGATATTATTTAATTATATTGATAATATTAATGATAGTGGGGTTGAGTTAAAATTGAGTTAAAAAAAGTGGTTGAGTTAAAAATGTTTGGATTTTTTTGAAAAAATTTGTATCCAAACATGCTCTAAAAGTCCATAATAAATTAGGAAAACTCTGCAATTGTATATTGGTGAAATTTACACAGAATTACAAATTACTATAATGGAAATAAATTGGGAAACCCTGCAGTTGTATATTTGGGGATGGATAACCATATTTTTAAATGGGCTAGACCGAGCCCGAAGCTGAGACAAAATTGAAAGTGAACTTAATTAAATTCGGCCTAAATTATTAAGAGGAATTTGCACCCCTTACAACCAACTATGATTTTTATTACACTTATATGCCCCTTATATTCTTATTTGTAAAATTGCCTAACCATGGAAAAAATATTTCAATTTTACTTGGATTGAGAAGGAACCGTTATTACCTTATTTGTAGGAATATTAAATACAAATGAGATCCTTAATTGAGTTAAATATATACTCACCATGAGACAAAAAGTTTCCTTCTCTCACTCCAAAACCATCCACAACCCACGTTATCTTCTCTCTCTCTCTCTGCAAAACTTCTCTATCCTTTCCCCCAATTGACTCTTCAATGGCCAAGAAAATGAGTAAAAGTGAAATTGAAATTAGAGTAAGAAGAGAAAAGCAGAGACAGTGAATCCTAACCAATGGTTAGGTTTGTGTGTTTAATTTTTGGTCCATGGGATTGAAGGCAGGGAACGTAAATCCAACGGCAGAGCTTCTCCGATCGTTGTGAAGCTACATCCAAGCATGAAATGGGAGCTTGCGAACAGGGTTGTGGAGGCGAAAAATCCGACAAACATAGTTTCGTGTAGAATCGGAGACAAATCTATTTTGTAGGAGAGGAGAGGGGTTAGGGGTTCTGTTGACGGCGTGATGGTGATGTTGGCGAGATTCATGTCGGAATCGTAGTCGATCCACGCCACGATCGGCTTGTCGGACTTGAAATTGAAATTGAGATTGATCTTCGAACCCCCCGACGAAATACCCCGCAGGGGCGGAGGCGTTGGAGCGGAAGGCATTCGAATCGATGCCGACGTGGTTACTCGATAAGAAATCGTGAGACATTGGTTTCTGTTTGGTTGATTGGTGTTTGGATCTGTGATTTTGTTTGCGGAATTTCTTTGCGCATTTTCTGTGCTTGAGACGTTGATAGTTAGTTGTATTTTTGTACATGTTGCGGGTATATACAGTATATTTCCAGTATATTTTTCGGGGTATGAAAAATTATATATTTCAGGTATGAAAATTCTATACATGATTTATATGTTACCATCATATATGAAAATTTACATGTTGCGGGTATATGTTGTGGGTATATACAGTATATACCAAAGTTGTACAACACACATATACATAAAATATACATGAAATATACACTCGAGATTCTCGTAATTCAAGTCGGCCACAGATTGGGACACACATATACATAAAATATACTTTAATTATAAACTCGATTTTCAATCGTTTCTCAAAATCGATTTCAGAACTCATATAGTTCATTCAANCAGGGGCGGATTTATAAATGGTTTCAATTAAACAATATATATATATATATACATATATATATATATATATATATATATATATATTCCATATCAACTCATAACATGTCAAAGCCAAGAAAAGTTGTAGTCCACTAATTCTCTTCAAGTAGTAGCCCTGATAAAGCCTTCAACCCGACAAATGCTCTAGATCAAACGAAAAGGTGAGTTGGACTAATTTGTAGTAAAAAATATCGGCAAATCTGATCATCTTCTCTCTCTTAAGATGGTATAATTAGCGTGTATTAAGGGCATCAATTATCCTTTAATTAGTAACTGATTTGTTAGGTATATATGTAAAATTTATGCCATAAATATTTTAACTGCAATAAAATGTTGGCCACTAGTAAATCTGCAATTATTTGCAAATCGTGTAGGATATATAAAATTTTCCCAATTATTAAAAGCCCAAGAATCATTTTAATACTCACTACTCCAACAATAATAAAAAGCCCAAGTATTATAATAATTTAATATCACTATCGCTATCACCAACAATAACAACAATAAAAATAAATGAAAATGAATGATTATTGGGAAACACAACATAACAAACACGAAAAGAAAAAAAGAGAAAGAAACGAGAAAGCTCTTCAAATCTATCCTTCATATGAGAAAACTTCTAAATTTGGGCCAGAAAAACTGAAAAAATTACTCTCAGCCAGATATATCCGAAAGAAAAGTGAAAAATAAAAATCCAACAGGTGAAGAACTCAGGTATGGTGATTGGTGTTATCATTAATTCATTATTACTAATTTTCATTCATTCATCATCTTATTTATTCGATATCTTAAATCACTGCCCTTTTTTTTCGCGTCCCAGATTAATTAATCGCTAGGGGAGTCGTAGTTTCTCTGTGATTTGATTCTGCTATTTGTTTTGCCCACGCATCTGCTTTTCCATCTTGACTTCCCGATTGTTTCTTCAAGACGGCTTTTTCTGGAGTTAAATTCACGGGTTCGATGACATTTATGTGATAGAGGCTTTTGCAAGTTTGTTGGTCGAGGATTATCGTGATTGCTGGTGTTTTTAATAGTAATGTCTTTGTTACTTCCCTTTGATTTGAAGTAGTGTGTTGGGCATAGCTTGAATTCAGCTGAGAACTCTGATTAGCGCAAAGAATACTCAATTCGTTAAATGAAATAACAAGAGCACATGCCCATGTTGGATTTTATTCGTCTGTTGTTACATTTGTTACGATATAATGAAGTCGGTGCACTAAAAAGAAATTGGAATAAGATGTGAATCTCTTAGGTATTGCACTCTTGATAGTGCCATTTTTTACTGGCTTAGCTTTTAACGGCCTGCTGATGATTCGGAACGTAAAGATTCTTTTTTTATTAGGCTGCAGGTTTAGATAAAAAAGATGACACCCGTTTGTCCTTTCACCAAAGCATCCCGTCCTGATGATGCGTCTGGCAAGAGAGTTGGCGAGAGCCAAAGTAGACAGCACACAAATGATAACAAGGGTCAACAAGAGAATGTGATTTCACCAAAGTGCCCTTTTGGATATGACTCTCAGACATTTAAGTTAGGCCCCCTCAGCTGCATGATATGCCAAGCACTTCTCTTTCAGTGCAGTAAATGTGTCCCTTGCTCTCATGTATTTTGCAAGTAAGCAATGGTGCTCAAGAAAATAGATGACTGTTAATGTGATGTTTGCAGATGATTTTCATGACTAGTGTGAGGATTGTATTGCTTTATTTCTGTTTTTCCATTCTCTTGGGTGCTAATGTATTGTGACCTTACCAGAGTTTGCATATCGAGGTTTAAGGATTGTCCTTTATGTGGTGCTGACATTGAGAAGATTGAAGATGATCTGAATCTCCAGAGTGTCGTTGATCGATTCATTGAAGGTCATGCAAGGATCAAGAGGTCTCAAGTTGATGGTGAAAAGGAGGAAAAGGGAGGTGATAAGAAAACAGTAATATATGAAGATGTGTCCCTCGAACGAGGTGCTTTCTTGATGCAGCAGGCCATGAGGGTGAGATTTCCTTTCATTCTATCTTTCTGGTTTCCTACTTGAAAGTTTTTGAATTTAGAGATACAACTGATATGAGATTATCGTAGAGTAATGGTTATTCATTGTTTGTAAATGTAGGATAAGTGAATACTGCAATTCGTAAGATGATTGCGTGGCACTAGTTGATTTATTATCCTTTATTTAAAAGAGGTATTGGGTGTAATTGGTGATGAAAAAGAGTGAAATTCACTGAATACTGTACTTTTTGATGTGACAATTCGTCTATTAAAAGGAAGCAAAAATATTGGTTTGCTTACTAACAACTCTTTATGTTACGTGTTTTGTGTACAGGCACTTCGTGCAAATAATATAGAAAGTGCAAAATCAAGATTTAGTGTCTGCGCTGAAGATGTCAGAGAACAATTGGAAAGTACGGGAAATACTCCCGATTTGTGCTCCCAGCTTGGTGCCGTTTTGGGTATGCTTGGCGATTGCTGGTACGTGTTTTCCCTCAATTCATTTTCTTATTGTCCTTGTTTGAATCTACTTATCATGTGAGTCTAATTTCATTAGTTGATGAAACACTTTATCTAGCCGAGCTACTGGCGATGCTAGTTCTGCAATTTCGTACTTTGAAGAAAGTGTCAATTTCCTTATGAAAGTGCCTAAGGATAACCCAGAGGTTAGGCCCTTCTGAAATTCAGCCTGGAAATATTTTCATTATGCTACATGTTTTTCATGTTGGGATCTATTTGCAGATAACACATACACTTTCTGTCTCACTGAATAAAATCGGAGATCTAAAATACTACGAAGGGGATTTACGAGGAGCACGGTCATATTATTTTCAGGCTTTGGATGTTCGCCGTAATGCAATGAACAATAACTCGAGTGCGCCTTCTCAGGTGAGGAAGCCTTCTGATGCTTTGCTGTGGTTTTTTTCTTTCTTTCTTTTCTCTAGTATAATGTAGTTTATTGAAGAATTTCAAAATATTTATGATTATTAGTGCAATCGCTCTCTTTTCATGTACCTTTCAAATTCAGGCTATAGATGTGGTTGTATCAATAGCTAAAGTTGCTGATGTGGATAGAAATCTGGGAAATAGCGACACAGCTATCGCTGGTTTTGAAGAGGGCGTAAAATTATTGGGCTCGTTAAAAATAGGAGCTGAGGAAGTTGGACTTGAGCAACGGGTACTACATTTATTGTCCTCTAAACGAACCCAAATTTATTGCAGCATTGATTTTTCCTTTTTTTTTTTTGTTTTTTTTTTCTTAAGACTTGAATTTGATTGAGTACTTCTTGTTTTTACAGCGGATTTCAGTGCTCGAGTTCCTCAACAATCAACTCAGAAAATAGTAAAGTGCTTACTTTGAAGCCGCACGTGAAGCATATGAACGGAGAACGTGTAATGGAAATTCAGTGAATGTTAACTAGTTGTTTTTGTACATNAACAACAGGTCAAAATCTAAAAAACTGAGTTAACTGAGTTTTTGTTAACCCGGCACAGCCAATCGGGTGCTCAGCACTGAAACTAATGTTACTGAGCAGAGTTGATAAACAAAACAAAACTTTTAGCGTACGAAAAATGAAAATAAGGTCATGCATAATCAATCTGCACCGTCAAATCCTGAATGCCGATCTCATGATACAGGCCATGGACATACTCGAGCACCGGCTGAATATCCATTCCCAGCTTCACCTTCACGCATAAGAAGTAAATCGATAAATGTAAAACTGAAAATTTTACGAGATGAAGCAAAATTATAAGATCATAGAAAGATCAGAAAGGTAATGTAATGAACTAACTTGATTCATTCGTTCATACCTGTATCGAAATGGATCCAACGACATGACCAGGCACCAACTCCCAAAAACGAGCCTCAGAAACTTCGACAATATCTTCACGGGAACCAACCTAATGACAAAAGCAGGAAAATATTTTCCATTCAAGGCACAAAACTACCAACAATGCCAAAAGCCGATGACAATTATTATTATTATTATTTGTTACACCTGTCTCAAGCATTTACTCAAAGCCGACATAGGAATGCTAGGTGGAGACATCTGCAGTAAAACGCCGCCTGTAGCTTTGAAAAGTGGCATGACGAGCATAAAAACCGTGACAGAAACTAAACCCAAACACAAGACCTCAGCATTGTCAACCCTACCCAAAAAAAAAATGATAAAAAATAAAAAAGTCGCTTCGTAAAATTGTGTAGTAACGAGGGGGATGAAAGAATAAAATTTAATTAAACGGGATTTTCATATAAAATTCAAATTACCCAAGGCTAAGCAACCAGGATGCTAGGATTAACCCTGCACTGATAAAAAATTAAGAGCAGCAGCTTAATAACATAAGATAATTTTCTCAGAAAAGAGAGAAAAAAAAAAAAGCACAAGGACACTGGTTTTCTTATACCTGCGAATGGAATCAGCTAGAACATGTAAACAAACTGAATGATAATTCATATCTTCAGCTTTTCTATAAACTGCAAGAAAAAATTGAGAATAACTAAAAGTCTAAAAAGATGCCCTGGTCAAACAGAAACTACACATAATATAGTATAAATATGAAAAGACTTCAAAAACAAAAAGAAGAGGCGCACCAATACTGATTCGTGCGTAGTTCCTGAAGAACCAAACACCAATAAGGTTTACCAGCAAATTCGTGACAGCTGAGACGATCAAATAATGCCTGGAAATTAAAAAAAAATCAGAGAAGATAAATAAAAAAATTGTTAAACAAAAATCTAGAAGCAAATTCAGATAGAGATAAATGCAGCAACACTTCCACTCCGAAACTTTGTTTAGGTAGCAATATAGGTAAAGTTATTAGGTATTTGTTGTGACAAAAATCCACCACCTAAGAATAAAATGAAACCTCCAAAACCCAGCAACAAAATGCTAACTTACTTGTGCTCAGACTCATCTTGTATAAACGCGTGAAGAGCTTCGACTGCTAAGGAGAAAGACATGAACAAAAGAAATAGCTGTCTACACAAGGGCATACAAGAGAGTGAGCGATTGTAGTAAAAATATACACTAAAGTTCCCATGGAATCAGACATAAAAAAACGCAACCATAATATCGATGAAGTAAATGATGATTCCAAGGATTTCAAAAACAGTAAACCTCAGTTTTACCACATCAGAAACAACATTACGAAATGTACCAACCATATAGAGTAGCGAGTAACATAAATTACTTACAGCATTGGTAAAAGCAGATAAAACTTCTAGCCTCTTGTACCTGTTGAGAAAAAAAGGCAGGAATTTTTCGAGTCGGTTTTTCATCATTGGAAGTCACAAACTTGTGCTTCGGCATTCACGTGTAGAAAATAGCAATAGATATTTAAAAGTACCATACCCATATGTGTATGCACGGTCGGGTTTTTGTCTTGAAGCAGCCATTGCAAATAAGGAAAACGACAAGAGGCCACAGCCGAACGTTAAATGAAATGCATCAGATACCAAACCTAAAACCACATTGAGGGTCACAAATCAAGATNAAAAAAAAAAAAAAAGCAATAAGCAGCAGAAGGCTGAGTAGTGAGTACTCAACAAAGCTTCATCTTTTACTTCATGTACCATAATAAACATTGATAGAACACGGCCAGAGCATAAATTTACGACCATATCCAACAAAACGTAGACTGCAAATGCAATATCATGTCTTTCTAAGCAAACCTATATAAAGTTTTAAACTCATGAAATAGTACACCATTGATGAGACTCATTTATTACTTCTACATCATTGCAAGTAGTTGACTTCCATTTGATATAAATAAAACACTCCTATTCAATGACCTTCCATTTGATATACAGAGAAACATTCCTATCCAATCACAAATTCTTGTATGAGGTAGCATTATAGTTAGACGGGTCGATTTGTCATTATTTTTTTTCAATAAAAATGCATACTTCGCTATATAATGTCATACTTTAAGCCTTACTGCCATCCAATTACCAATACTCAAAAAACTCAAGTAAAGGTAGGATCTTTTTTCTTACCAACACGTCCCGATAAAAGGCCGATAAACAACTCGGCCGTTGAGTACGCGACATTAAGAGAAATCAGCACAAACAGCCGCCTCATATGCTTGTTTCCAGATCTCAACGCCCCCAAAATCAACGAAAGAGGCGACAAGGCCGATATTTTCACATCGGTTAGCTTCGAGTACGCAAACCCAGAATCCGGCCAGTAACTTCCCGGTGGTATATCGACGGCGGCGTTCCGATGCGCGGGAGCGTGGCGGGAGAACGCGAATCGGCGATCGGAGGTTTCTCCGAAATCGAAGTCTCCGGCGAACGATCTCGGAGAATCGGTGAGCTTATGGTAGTCAAACGCAATATTGGGATCTTTTGTGCGCGAATAATTATCCATCTTGTCGCGAAAAGAGTGGGTATGGATAGAGAAATCAAAAAGGCGGAGCTTTTTCTGCTTGTTCCGCCAATTCAAGTTTCAAGCTTTGGAAGAATTTCTTGGACCTAATGCTGATTTTTCTTCGTGGGCAGTGAAACGTTTGATTAGTCCATTGTATTGCAGGTTTTGAGGTCCTAAAAAACCAGTAGATCCTCAGTCAAAGATGCAATTAACCTGTCTTTTTAAAAGGTACAAGTACTAAAATAAACAATAATGGTTTTATTTTTATTTTATATTCTTATTAAGAACACCATATTTTAATAATAATATCAAATCTTATTAAAAATATGTATTATAGTCCTTAAATAAAAATGTTAAACGAAATGAAACTCATTGGCCGAGCTTCAGCTCAACATCAACTCGACTCGTTTATTATCAGTTGTGGATCCACATTGTAGATAGGGGGCGGGGGGTTATTGTCCCCTTCCCCTCCAAACTTTTAATTATTTACTATCTATATATACATATTGTAAGTATATTATCAATTTTTATCCTTTATTATATAAATATATATTTATAAGTATATTCAATTTATACCTACATTCCATAATTATTACTAATTATTGTATTGCTCTGTCTATTAATTATTTCAAGGTACATTATATTTTTATTAGTAAATTTTCACTCTCCATATATAATATTTGGTGTTTCTTCTTTGTAATTTATGATTTAATAAAATTGAATGTATGAGATATGTGACATCTTAATAAAAAAATTGAAACAACATAGCATGCAAGATATGCAAATTTATGGGATTGAAAAGTACTCGCAAGAACTATTAACACTGAATCAATTGTTAATGAGTTTCGTGAAGTGAAATAATATCAAACACAATTTTAGAATACCAAAGTCCATAAATTATATATTTTGTACAACATTTTTATTATTTATTTTATCTATTCAATACAAAATGAAACTGTATGTATGTGTGTGTGTGTGTAGGGTTGTAAACGAATCGAATCAAAGCGAATACTCAGAGATTCGATTCGGATTCGTTAAAATATTCGAAGATTCGAATTCGTATTCGATTCGTTAACGAACTCATTTTTTGATTCGTATTCGATTCGTTTAGAATATTCGAACATATTCGATTCGATTCGAATTCGTTTTTAAAAAAAATTATAATTAAAAAATATTATAATTACAAAAAATAATTTTTATTTTTCATATATTTTTAGGAAAATTTGTTAATTTATAATGTTTTAATTTTTATGTCATAAAAATAGTAGAAATATAGCAATATATATATATATACATATATATTATAAACAAAATGTTACTATATATAATTTATAAAATTTATATAATTATTGTTAACGAATCGAATATTCAAATTTCGAATCGAATATCTACAAATTCGAATTCGGATTCGTTTAACTTTCGAATATAAAACATTATTCGTATTCGAATTCGAATTCGAATATTTCGAATTCGAATCACGAATATCGAATTCGAATATCGAATCGAATCAAAAAAAGTTTGATTTGCTTACAAGCCTATGTGTGTGTGTGTGTTATAAAAATTATATATCATCTCTAAAGGTGTTATTTAAATCGAGTCAACTAAAATATCTCATGTTCAAACCCGTGTTTGATTAATAAATGAGTGAGCTCGGTTTGACTCATTTAATGAACAAGCAAGACCCAACTCAGTTAATACATAAAGTAAATTTAGTGTCTAAAAAATTAGTTTATTTAAGTAAAAGAACAAGTTGAGCTCGAGTTTTTGTTAGTCAAATCGAGTTGTGTTCGCTGACAGTTTTGTTCGATTTACAGCTCTAGTCCCTCAAAAAAAAATTTCTAGATCCGCTCCTATTTATTATATTTTTGGATATCCACTCGACTCGACTATCAACAAATTGTAACAACTAATTTACAAGTTTCTTTCATATTTACAAGTTTTCTTGTAAACTCATTGGCCGAGCTTCAACTCGACATAAACTCAGACTCGTTTATTTATCGACTCGACTCGACTCCACAGTCAACAAATTGTGAAAATTAATTTATAAGTTTCTTTCATATTTACAAGTCCTCTTCAAAAACGCAATTTTTAGCTCGGGCCCTCGACCTTTTGTTTTATGTGAATTGCTGCGCCCCTTCTCCTCTATATATGCTAGGGCGCCCCCGTCACTGTCCCAGTTAGTCTATTTTCCCGCCATGGCAATATCACCCATGGAAGTCGACGAGAATGGCGCACTCCAGAGAAAACAATCCACCTACAAGTCTCTGGTAATTAAAGAAGAGATTTTGTTCTATCTTCCCAGTTTATTTTACTTTTTCGATTTTCTTGATATTCACCTGTGCATTATTTCCCCTTTTTTTTTTCTTGTTTTTGTTCGATTTTGGGGTTCAAATTGCAGGATGAGAGCTTTGAGATACAGAGAGAGATGTACAGAGGGCAACAGTACAGTCAGATTTACTTTGCTAGACTTCACCTCATGAGAACACTGCTCTACTCTCTTCTTCCCACCTGGAAACCCCACCTGCCAAGTACCTTTTCTTCCCCCTTCTTGGATTTATTTGTAAATTGAGCTGATTTTCGTGTAAAGTTTTGGACTTTCTTGCTTTCAGCTCCTGTTATCTTCAAATGTTGTGCATTTTCATAAATTGGGATTGCGGTTTTGCCGATTTTGGGCTGTGAATGTTAATTGATTTATGTGGTTATATAATATGTTGTAGAAGCAATTTTTTTTCGAGACATACGGTTGCTGTTATGTGGCTTTCTCTACAATTTGAATCTCAAATAGGAACAATAAAGAAGCAATTAAAGGAAATGCTGAAATGGGGAAATATAAATAAACTTCTTCATATCTGTGTATGTTGTGAGGCTGTTCCCTACCGAGAACAATATTGCAGTTACAACGACATCTTTTTGATAATGATTCTAGTATGTGTCCCGGTATTTGGTAAATTGACTTTGATGCCTTATTTAGTGAACAACTGCAGAAAACTTGTTGAAGGAAATTGGGGAAGCTTTTCTCTTTCTGTAATTTTTCGAAATCAAATAAAAGAACAGAAGTTCAAGGCTTTTGATGTGGATTTTCAATGGTTGAGGTTTCTGATTTATGTTTATGTTTTGTTCTTTTGTTTTCATTTTATCTATCTTAGAGCTTGATGGCAATGTTGCTCTTTTTAACATTGACTAGTATGATTTAAACCCTCACATTAAATGGAAATTTGTGAAATTTGAGCTCAATGGTTAACATGAAAGCATATCTCCTTTATATTTAATGTAGGCTGTACCGTGCTTGGACTAGAAGAAGGTAAAGAGTGCGTCATAGTTGGAACCCTTTATAAGCACATGAAACTCAAACCTTCCATACTTGATGAGTATTCAAAGGAGGTACTAAGTGTTTTCTTCCTTTTTTTTGGCGCCCTTAGATTTCAAACGCACAGAAGTCACACTTATTTTGCTACTTAAGCCCGATTCTTTTTCTCAAGTCCATTACCATAAATCCATGAAATACAGAGGTCAGCAAGCCCGCTTGTAAAACCCCATAACTTCGTTCACTCAGACGATCATCTAGTTTTGGAAGATGAAAGTGGAAGAGTTAAACTCTGTGGGGCCCTTCTTTCGCCTTCTGTTTATGTAACAGGTATGCAGTTAAATGCTGTTCAGACAACCTGAAAGTATTATAACCACTGAGTTGAAATCTGATATATTAATCTTAACTGTTTTTTCTGTGATATGCTTGTAGGTATAGTCACTGCATTGCATGGAAAAGAAACTGGGAATGGAGAATTTTTGGTTGAAGATATCTTGGAAGCTGGCCTTCCTCCTCAGACGAAGCTGCCTGTTCATTCTGGTCGGTGCTGCACGACTTTCATGTTACTTAGAAAATACTTGGGCAATGATAAATATTGATTTTTATCGGCTTCTCTTGATAATGAGTGACATTCAATTTACCAGTGTGCATTTTAAAATGAAGCAGGTGAAGATAAATATGTAGTTTTTGTATCGGGATTGAGTGTCGGGAGCCCCTCCGCTAATCCTCTCCATTTCCAGCTCTTTGTCGACCATATAACTGGACATTTAGGAGACGAAAAGGTTTTGAGTATAATTCTAATTGCTCGCTTTTATTTCGTCTACTTGTAATGATTTAATAGTGGTCCATCTGATTCTAATGTTGAGAACTCACAAATTTGGCTTTGCTTCAGGAACAAGGAATTGCAGCTCAAATTGTTCAAGTTGTTATTGCTGGGAATTCTGTTGAGCTTCCTCGTGGGCTTCTTAATGGTCAGGTACTCTTTTTTAATCCCACTTTTTTACCTTAAGATCTTTTTTACTATATTGTTTCTGGTAATCCAAATTTCCCCTGCAAACTTCACTTGACGTATAATATAATGCTAATTTTTCCTGATGTTTTACTTGTGATTGTTGCAGACCCTAGGTTCAAAGGATCAGTCAAAGCTGTCTGAGCCAATAAAGGAGCTCGATATTCTACTTACTCAGGTATTTTCTTATTTTTTTGCTGAAAATACAGATTCTAATTCAAGCTACTTTCTTTATTTAGGTTTTTCAAATATCTGAAAACATTGTACAGGTTGCTGCAGGTATGCCTTTAGATATAATGCCGGGTACTAACGACCCTGCAAATTTCTCTATGCCGCAACAGGTAAAATCCGTCAGCTGAAGTCAAGTTTCTGCATTTTTATATTCCTAATTGTTATTAACTTAACTTGTAGTGCTTTTCTCTCCATGTGCTCATAAGCCTCTGAATAGATGCCTTTTTCCTGGATCAGCGGCTTACAACACTTTCAGATCCTGCACTAATCCTCATTCCTTTGAGCTAGACAATATTAGGTAAGAAAGATATACTTCTCGAGCTATTCATTTATTTTGGTTATTTTATTATCTTGGTAACTGTGTTGGACATGATTTTCTCGTGCTTTTTTCAGATTCCTTGGTACATCGGGTCAGAACATTGATGATCTTGCTAAATATTCTGATGCAAAATGTAAACTTGAATTCTTGGAGAGGACATTGAGATGGAGGCACATAGCACCCACAGCTCCAAATACTCTAGGTATAGACCGTTTTGCTTTACCCGTTCTGTTAAGACTTTAAGAGCCATGCAAATATCTATTTTTAGTTTTATTTTCTTTATAATATTTTGAATCTTGAGCTGTAATAAGTTTTATTGATATATGTTATTTAAATTCCACACAGGTTGTTATCCTTTTACTGACAGAGATCCATTTTTCCTCGAGAATTGTCCTCATGTCTATTTTATCGGTAATCAAGATAAATACGAGACTGGCTTGATCGAGGGTGAGATTCCACACTATTCAATTGTCATTTTCTATGATTGCTATATTTTGATCGTATAAATAATCTGCTGCCAAAAAAATCACAGGATCAGAAGGGCAGGTGGTGAGACTCATTTGCATTCCTAGATTTGCCGAAACTGGCATTGCTGTCATGGTAAATTTCTAACATGCGTGTAACAATCTCTTCTACTAAATTACGGAATTACCTCCTCTTCTTCTAACCATCGAGAAGAGTAGAATCATAGCTGATATAGTTCTAGTAACAATCTGCTGAAACTGGAATTGCTGTCGTGGTAAATTTCTAACATGCGCAATTAAGTCTTTTGTTTTCGTGCTTGTGCAGTTAAACTTGAGGAATCTTGAATGTCATACTCTCAGTTTTGGGACTCAGTTTAGCTCGTAAGCTGAAGGTACGGTTGACTGAATTTTACTTCAAACTTCAAGATTGAGATATTCTAAAAAATCTGATTTTATGAGTAACCGAGTAAGTGCAAAACTTTATTGTTTCTAATATGCACGTCTTTTGGATCTTAATTCCCACCACACTGCATTCGTGCATGCATTTACGGGTTTTGCATCTGCTCTGTAAAACAGAGGCTCGGTTCTGAGACGAAGGCTCGAGTCGTCAAATTGTCCTGGCTATTCCTGGATGTTGTTTTTACCTGCAATATTTGTGACAGTTTAATTGCAAATTTATAAGATGTTGTCGTAAAACCCAGTTTTACAGCAAATTGAGTGACGTAGATTCTCAATGTATAACTAACTAATGATCATTTTACATTCAAGCTGAGTTGAGATTTGTTCTGTAGTTCTGTCTGTGTTAGAGTAATTTTATATTTGTTCCAACCAAAAGATTTGTAGCTTCTTCTTTTNTTAATCTTATAAGACTGCTATTGGTCAGATCTAGCGGTGAAATGTTGTTATATATTTATGGTACTTGTTAATTGAGGTTCACAAATTATAAATAAAAAACAATGGAATGGAATCAGTCATTTGTTAGACAAAACATCCATATACTAATTTAAGGCAAATATAATTTTTTCAATTTAATATAAGAGTTTATACCATTCAAAATAGATTGGTCTTGCTAGTTCGGATAGTGCTAGCCAAATGTAGAAACCTTAATTCAGTAATATGTATGAGATAATATATTTGAGATTGATTAAACATAAAATCGAATTCAACATTAATTTGACCATTAAACATAAGTAGAGATTGATTCAATCATTTGGATGAAGTTTAGGGAAAAAAAAAATCTGGTGGCCTGTTATAAGCATAAAAATCCGGCACCTTGGCTACTCATCAGAAATCAATAATTTATGCAATTTTGCCTACATACTACAAATTTATCTGCATGAAATAAGTTATAATTGGTCAAAATGGATTCCAAATTATTTTTTCTTAAATAAGAATAAGAAATTAAGAATAGTAATGCTTGTACAGTCAAGACTTTTGAAAATGAACCTATAAATAAATGGATTATCAATTCCACTTTATCTCATCACTTCACAAGTTAATTTATTTTAATCATTAGCCAATTAATCTAACAAATCAATTCTAATAATTTCGAAAATGGCCTCAAATATTCTCTTATTGGGCATCTTCACAATCCTCAATTTCATCTTTATGAATGCCATAAAATAATTAAAAAATAACGTTGTTGAGGTGAATTTTAAGCATAAAATAATTAAAAAAATCGAAATAATTGCTTTATGAATGCCATAATATTGACCATTAATACTTACTAATTATTATGGATCGGTAAAAAATAAAAATTTATATTTATAACATAAAATACTATATATTTGTTTATTTAATTTTTTAAAACATGACATTTTAATTTAAAAATATGTATAGTTATTGAAAAATAATTACTAACTAGCATCAGACTTCAAGAAAGAAGGCACAAATTATTATGCTGACAAATGCACTTTATCAATCACAATTTTTCAATCTTTTTCCTTCATTAGCAAACACCATAATAATGCATCTGTAAAATATATGTTGTCAGTAAAAGAACATGGGACGGTCATGAATTAACACTAAACTTAGAATTGTATGCACATAATTTCATAGGCAACGGCTATATTGCACACTACTTGCTTACAATCCAATTAAAAGCCACCGCCCATTTAACGGTCCTTTTCTCTTTTTCTCCACACATCATAAACCCCACTTTTCCCTCTTTTCACTACTCACAAACTTTTCATTACACCTCCCAATTTCCTCAAAAAAACAACAAATATCCTTAGTTTCTTGCAGAATGGAAAATGCCGACCCGAACATCGCTAGAGTCCAGCACGTCGCGAAATCATCGTCCGACCAGCTCCTGAGGAAATTTGCCGAGGTGGGTCCCCATAAAAACGACAAATTTGCAGTCAAGGACCTTAGACTGGCCAAGCGGGTAAAGCGAAAAGTTTGTGCTGGCCATGTAAGTAGCTTACCGGAGAAAAAATCTCTTCTTGGTCCTCTGAATGCTCATAAATCAGCTGCATTGTTTCGGAGGTTTGGGATGAGCAAGGCCAAGATCAGGGCCAGGGAGATTAAGAACAAATCCATCATAACTGCTCTTGAGAAGGTAAGTTAATTGATCAAGACTTGATTTTTATGTTTGGATTGTTGTGTGTTGTTTAGGTTGTGTTTGTTCAATTGTCTGTGTGATGGGAAGATTGATTAGCTGCTCAGGTGGTGCTATTTTTCTGTCATTAGTTTGGTCTAAGTATCAGGAAGAGCTTTAGATTAAGCAGAAATGACTGTTAAAGATTATTGTTTTGAGAAGGTAAGTTAATTGATCAAGACTTGATTTTTATGTTTGGATTGTTGTGTGTTGTTTAGGTTGTGATTGTTCAATTGTATGTGTGATGGGATGATTTAGCTGCTCAGGTAGTGCTATTTTTCTGTCATTAGTTTGGTGTAAGTATCAGAAAGAGCTTTAGATTATTAAGCAGGAATGACTGTTAAAGATTATTGCTAACTGGGCATGTTCGAAATGACTGTTAAAGATTATTGCTAACCGGGCATGTTTGCGAAACTGGATAACAGTTGATAGGCATTTTGAACCACTTTTATTTTTATTCATCCCGGAGAAACTCCCGGTGAATGTTTCAGTAGTATTACATACTTTGCAATCTTGAAAGATAATAACTTTCAGCGATCATCCTCGTGATAAATTATGATACTTTATGATGTGGAGTTGTTATTTTAGCAGACATGGCGAAGAACTGTGGAAGGGGCATCAAGGGTGCTGATGGAGAATCATTACAACCGACACAAACGCCTGATAAACGACTCTTACTAAGTTAATGACTGTGTACACGAGCGAAAGATTATTATTTTTGTTTTAGCTTTGTGTGTGTGTTTCTTATTGTACTAAAGGACAGTAGTCAGATGTCAGAATTCTTTTTATGGATCCAATTCTCTCTACTGTTTGCTAATCACAATTTCGCTACAGAATGAATCTCTTGTACAGGCATGTTTCACTAATGCAAATGTAATTGGATACAAGCAAAGAGCATAGTAAAAATTCGAAACATTGGATAGCTCTAGTACCCTACTCTATGTGACACGAAAATAATTTTATCCCATTCTCTCAAAGTTCATCTAGTAAATTCATCTAGTTCAATCACTATGTAACTGCACAAAAGGAGGACTCTATAAAATCTCATTTCTGGGAATTTGATGGAAAATAAGAGAAGAGATTTCTCTCCTGGATTTCAATAATCAACTGATTGTAACAAAAGAGGAGGACTCTTTAAATTCCTAGTTTGTCCAACAAAAATAAGAACTTACTTTCTTGCACGTATTTCGAAGACAGCCGAGACAGCTCAACTATTTGAATCGACATCAACCTGAAGAAAGGGAGGGGCGGTATAGCAGCATTCGGAGAGGTAATAATAATAATAATAATAATAAATATAAGAATAATAAGATACAACTTAAACCAACGATAAAGGGCGATCATATCTGCACATTCGACCACGTGCGCGGGTCGAATGTGTAAATAAAATATTGAATAATGATTGAATTTAACCAATGATTGAAAAAAAAAATATTGATTGAAAAAATACTATAACCAATGAACTTTTATCTTACATCTATCCACGATGTCACAAATATTGAAAAAAATGTGAAATTTGGCAGGCGGGGGAGGTCTCTTTTGTTCTTGTTAGTATTGTGCTGAGACTGTCAATGCTTTTACTTCGATCATTTAGGTTATATTGATTGTTTGAAGGGGAAAGAAAATGGATTAGGTGATCTTAGGATTTATATTGTTCTATTCTATACTGTTTTTCCGTTTTGGGTCCTATTGGGTTATTGCCAATTGATGCATGTTTATTATATCATGATGGTTTTTGTGTCTTATGACTATGTTTCATGATTGGAGGGAAGAGTTGAAGCTTTCTTTACGATGACGATTGCAAAGATTGGAGCTTTTTGTGGAAAGAAAATGAGATTTTTTGTCAATATAAGTTGTGAATAATAGAAATGGGAAGAGAATTGGATTTTGAGATGGGTGGGTGGTGGGATTCAAAGGAAATAATGTATAATAATTATGAAATGCTAAGGTGCTAGGTTGTTGCAGTGTAATAATATTCACTTTGCTTATCTTTCTTTGCAGACAAGTTCTTTTAGGAGTTCCCCAAGGGTGAGCTCTCTCTTCCTCCCACCCTCTCTCTATCTTTCCATGTGTATGTGTGTGTGGTGTTTTTCTTTTTCTTTTCCTATTTTGAATTGACTTTATATTATGTTGGCTACAACAATGGATACGAAATAAACGAATTCATGGAGGATGAGTAAAAGTTCATTATGCCATCTATACAGACTAGCTGAGCACTGTGTTTGTGCCTTTAAGTCTCTCGTATTTAGTAATCACAGGGGAAGGATTAGTAGCTCAACCTAGGTGAAAAACGATCTAAGGTAATAATAAAGAAAGAAAAGCAAAGAGATTAGGATTGATGGCACTGCTAAATGTTGTGCTTTTTAGCTTCTTGAACTAGCAATTTCGGGTAATTTAGGGTCGATAAAGTGCTAACATTCTTGTTCCTGAAGTAGGACTACTGCATTTCGCTTTTGCAAAAGCTCAGTCTCGGTTATCATCCTATGATTTTTCAAGGTGTTGTATGTATCTCAGCCTGAATTATATTTAGCGACAAAGAGAGTTACTAGTCAACTGTTGCCATCTAAAGAGAGAAAATTGTTCATATTCGTGCTAACTGGCAAAGTCATTGATCTGTATGGTTGCATGAGAAATAGTTTCGAGGCATATTTCTTACTTTAATACATACGGAGTCTGATGTTGTTATTAGAATGCCTTAGAAGTTATTGCATTTGCTTGTGTGTGGATCTAATGTGTAAATTCTTTGTGAATGACTTTCCTAATGTAAGTCGAGGTGTTATTTTGTCGAATGTTTTTATGTATTCTTCTTTTCAAATAGAATTTTAACACTTTTGGTAGTACTATGGTGTAACACTTTGAATTACGCATAATGAGTCAAATCTTCCGTTTTCAGCCATTAAAGTTGCCTACATTAACTATCCTATACTTGAAAAAAATTAAGATACCAACACTCTCCAAGTCGATGATTCTCCTCATCACTCTTGTCCTCTCTGACATAGTAAAAAAGGTAGCTACATGATCCTAAGAGCATTCTTCAGACCCACTACTGATATATACAAATCATGATTTGCTCAGCTTAATCCAAGTAGCGTAAGTCATAGATTTGAGCCCGTAACCATCCCGGCTTGCAAACCCTCCTTCAATAGAGTGGTACATCCCCGTGGTCATAGAGTACAACACACCGCTATCCCTGTAAAACTTGTTGAAGTAAATCGTGTTCTCCAACCCATGGCATGGAGTCTCGGCAACAAACGAGCCGTTGATGCTCACGTACATGCACTTGTCCCCCAAACTCTTGACCCTCCTCCAACGCAACCCCCCAAAATCCCATCTCCTCACGCTCACTTTCTTCTTCACATCCGAGACAAACACGGCCAATATCTCACCTTGGGCTTCTGCAAGGTATATTTCATTTTTCCATTGATAACCCTCCTCCTCCTCCTCCTCCTCCTCCTCCTCCTCCTCCTCCTCCTTATCCTTGGGCCTGGGCACCCACTGAGGACGGCCCATTCTTGTTGGGTCGAATGTCACCAAGTCCCTCCAGCGAGGAGAATCATGACTCAGGAAGTGGTAGACCCCACTGTGGAAAAGCGGGGGGCAGTCCTTGGATTCAATATATTCCCTGCCGAAAGGGCCTATATTCCACCGCATCTCCCCGAACCGAATGAGCCCGAATCTGTTCCACCTGAAGATCCCAAAAACGAAGCAGCAGTCGGAAGTTGGTGGGGACGTGAAGCAGACGGAGTCGAAAGGTTTGCGAGTGCGGGGGAGCTCGAATCTCTCCCACGTCAGGGGATTGAAGAAAAACATTAGGGAAGAGTCGGAGCGGGCAGACATAAGGAGCCAACCGTCTTTCGAATACTTGATGTCGGCGTGTTGAATGTCGGGAGGGACGTCCAAGTAGTAAAAAGCGTTGTGGAGAGAGTGGAATATTTTCCAACGGCTGGGAGTGCTCAACTGGGGGATTATTAGGCACGGCGAGTCGAGATGAGCAGAATCCGCGGGCGGTGGAAGTTGTGGCGCGTTCGGGACGACCCAGCTCCACGACCGGCAAACGAATTTGAAATTCTGGCGGTCCTTGAAGAACAATTTGGATAGTATTAGGCTCAGAATCTCAGGGGGAATGTCGGACCAATTATTATTCAGTTTCCTTCTCGAGTACGAATAATATGATGTTGTTGTTAACCAATCTCCAGCCGCCGCCATCGAATCCAAATAATATTATATATACCTCTGCGCTTCTGTGCTTGATCAGGGTTGCAATTGAAACAAGCTTAATAGTTTTCGTGCTATTTAAAAAAAAATACATATATAAATAAAAGTTTGTATCTATTAATTAATTAAGATCATAATATGTGAATAATTAATATATATCGATCGATCGTGACATATAATAGAAAGAGAAGGCGTTATGGTATATATGGATTCCTTTCCTAGTCGTGGAATTATTATATGAACGTAACATATATATATAATGTGTAGGAATATCGTATATATATATATACATATATATATGGATACTGAAAGATTGAACGGGGTGCTAATCTTTTTGTTTAAGGTGATGATGATTAATGAGTGTCCTAATTAGGTTAGAAGTCGTGTTTCGTTCTTATCTATGATGATGATTTAAATTTGATGAGTGTCGTCCTATCCTAATTAGGTTGGGACGGATTATATACCAACCACATATCATATATGACTGTAGCAAAAGCAAATTAATTCTCCTCTACAGTATACACACACACAATGAGTGAAATTCCCTTTGGTTTTCCCGTTGTTCATCGTCACCACCCACGGCTACTCGTATCTCATGGCGAAAACTTGGAAAACCACGCACTCTACAGCATATCCGAAAACCAACACGTTGATTTACACATACCCGAGCTAGTCTCGAAGCAAGCGGCCTTCACCTCGTACGGTTGGCTCGTCCTAATCGACTTGGAGCGTCGCCACGATGATGATTGTGGCTGTTGTCTCCTTAACATATTATCCTGTGAAAGGATTCGTATCCCGCACAATCCGATGCGGTACGAGTCTTACCAGTGTATCCTGTCCAGACCCCCGACCGAGCCCAACTGCTATCTCATGCTCCTCCCATCCCGACTCCATGATAATGGGTACCTCTACTTCTGTCGCCTAGGAGATGACGACTTCAATGAGACGGTTAAGTATTTCGGGAACAACAACACCGTGTCGGCTGTGTCGGGCTTTGGCGGGAAAACCTATGTGTGGATGGGAGACACTTGCCGTTTGTTCGAGTTAGAGTTTTACGGCGACCGGATGCTCAACATTGTCCCGCTGGTCCACGTGGCGGAGGAGGAGCTCTCCACGTGGCAGCTGCCCGGCGATTTCATGGATTTCATCATAGCTGTGGATGATGGGGAGATACTTCTGGTTCGGGCGATTCTCCGCATGTACTGCGACGTGGCGTATTTCAGGGTTTTTCGAATGGGGAAGGAGTGTGTGGAGGAGCTGACGAGCTTAGGGGATCGTGCCCTTTTCTTGGGGAAGCACGGGAGCACAGTGTGCTTTGCGGACGGGTCCTCCTCGTCGGGGGTGAAGAGAAACTCGATATATTATTACTGGTGTAACGACCAGAATTTGTATGTCTATGATTTCGAGGACCGGAGCACCACACCACTCAGGCCGTGCACGGTCAAGGGTCGTCTATTCTTCATGTCTTGGGTGTGAATGTCATCAATGCTTCTTTCTTTCTTTCATTCTTCTGATTTAGATATGGAGTTGGAGTTGTTCTTGTTTCTTGTTCAATTCTGCTTTAATTTGTCACCTTTCATGGTTTTCACAGTGAACTAGTACTTTATCAATACAGGACAGATAGATAGATAACATAAGATATCCATTTGTGTACTCTTGAGTCTTGTCTAGTCGTGTCCTTGGATACATGAAATATTTTTCAGAATTAAAAATACTTAAATAGCATCTCCTAGTGAATTTTACATTAGAATTAATGCAGTTATGTCCTTTGATGAATTGGTCGTGGATGTACACAAGGTTACCTTTGATTGGTTATTAAGAGTTATTAAGGTGTGATTGGATATGAATTTGATTGGTTAATTTTGAAAAATGTAGTAGGGTTAGTTGTTAGTGAAAATTTAAATTTAAATTCAAATAATATTCTAAAAATACAATTAATGTTGAATTGATGTAAACTAGGAGAAAAATTATTGGAAGTAATAGTTAGTTAAAATTATAATTAAAATTATGTAAATGGATGAATAGTGAATCTATTAATATATAAAGATGCAACAATATTTACTTAAAATAGTAACTAAAAATCAGTAAATAAAAACATAAGGTTTCTCGCTTAAAAATTCAGATTTACTAAGTTGTGTAATTGTTTGGCCAAAATTTGAAACCAAAATTTGAAAACTCCCGCCTAAGTTAAATGTAATTAATGTACATAATCATTTTGGTCAAATATTGCGGCTATTACCTTTATTAATTGTGTGATTTAAATTTAGTATATAATATATCGACAAAACTTGATGCTATTACCATTATTAGTTGCATGGTTTAAATTTGGATAATATATTGAAAAAAATAAAAATATTTTTATTTAAAATTAAAAATAAAAAAATAATATTATAAATAGACCTCGAGTTTGAGTCACTCAATGGCGGAAGTGGAAACTACTATTGATCCTATTTAAAAAGAGGAAGAAAAATTAATAATTATAAATTAAAGAGGAGGATAAACAATACGTAATAATTATAAATTAAATATTCGGTAAAATTATTATGTATAAGAGAATATAAAAAAATTTGATTACATACCATTTCAAAATTATTATTATACTTTTTTTGTATGATTAGCTTATAATATTTGTGAAAATATTAGTAATTAGACTGATGAAAATTAGCTTCTTAAAGTAGATATTATAATATTTGTAAAAATATTAGTAATTAGACCGATGAAAATTAGCTTCTTAAAGTAGATATTATAATATTTGTAAAAATATTAGTAATTAGACGATGAAAATTAGCTTATTAAAGTAGATAATGGATTTCTAGTAGTAATTATGAATTGGTTTCTATTTTATTTTATTTTTTCTTTTTAACGGATTTCTAGTAGTAATTATGAATTGATTTCTAGTGCTAATAATGGACTAGATCAAAATGGCTCAATTAAATTCTAGTGCCTTTTCTATTAATGAAGTTTCTAAATATATATATATATAGGATGTGGTTCAAATGAGAACCAAGTCCTAGTGTGAGAACCGTGAGAACCGCTATTTTTAATTGTATGTAGTGTTATGATTAATTGTGTTTTAGTGCTATTTTTAACTAGGATGTATTTGGTTAAAAATAGCAACAAAATTTTTATTAGCATTTATGAAAATGATAGCACTATGTAATATTAAAAATAGCATCATACACAATTAAAAATAGCATCAAATATGGTTCTCACGGTTCTCACACCAGACATAGTTTTTATTTAACCCAGCCCCTATATATATATATATATATCAAATGGCGCAATGCACCTTGGGTCGCTACGGAAACAGCCTCCTTGTATAATTACAAGAGTAAGGCCGGTCTGCATACAACTGACCCCCCATGCCCCAACCTGTTGGGAATATACTGGGTATGTTGTTGTTGTTGTATAGATAAGGGATGAGATTTTTTAAACGTATGCAATAGAATTTTGTAACAGAAGAAATAAACTCCTGTAGATTTATATTAAAAATAATAAAAAGAAAAACAAATATTTATTGTCAAACAACGATTTTGATAAACTAAAAATCAGGAAAAAAAAAAACAAATTTTTACATAATTAATGGGCCAATTTATTTGCCTATTCAGATTTGTCCAACAATTACTATATGTAGGATATATTTAATGATTTTGACGAGAAAATATTTTTAAATTTATAAAAAAATTATTTTTTTTATATAATGATAGATAATAAAAAGAAGCATATTCGGCATCATGAAATCACAACTTGCTCAGCTTAATCCAAGTAGCGTAAGTCATAAAGTTGAGCCCATAACCATCCCGGCTGGCAACCCCCCCCCACAATGGAGTGGTACATCCCCGTAGCCATAGAGTACAACACACCGCTCTCCCCAAAAAACTTGTTCAAGTAAATCTTGTTCTCCAACCCACGGCACGTCTCGAAAAACGAGCCGTTCCTACTAATGTACATGCACTTGCCCCCCAAACTCTCGACCCTCCTCCAAATCGACCCCTCGAAATCCCATCTCCTCACGCTCACTTTCCTCTCGGCATCGGACACAAACACGGCCCATATCTCCCCTTGGTCTTGGCAAAGGTAGATTTCATGGTCCCGTTCATAATCATCTTCATCCTCCAACTCCTCCTCTTCTTTGACTCCATCACGCTTGAGCATCCTCCACCGAGCAGTCCTTGGGTCGAACTTGACCAAGTCCCTCGTACAGGAATCGAGGTAGTGGTAAGCCCCACCGTGGCAAAATGGGGGGCAGCTTTTTAGGAATATGTTGGAAGAAAGGCCGATCTCCCATTGCAAGTCACCAAACCGAATGAGTCCATACATGGTCGGGCAGTTGTATCCGCCAAAGAACCCGAAAACGGAACAGTCTTCTCCGGGTGGCCTGGACGTGAAGCAGACAGAGTGGATAGGTATTTGAGTCGGGGGGAGTTCGAATGTCTGCCTCGTCAGTGGGTTGAAGAATATCAGATGATGATGAGGAGTAGTATTGGACATGAGGAGAAGGAGCCAACCGTCTTTGGAAAACATGATTTCGGCGTGTTTGAATTCGGGAGGGACGTCTAAATAGTAAAAGGCGTTGTGGACCGAGTGGAATATCTTCCAACGTCTAAATAGTAAAAGGCGTTGTGGACCGACTGGGGGATTATTAGGCACGGCGAGTGGAGATGAGGGGAGTTGGCCGGCGGAGCAAGTGGTGGCGCGTTCGGGACGACGGAACTCCACGACCGGCAGACGAGTTTGAAATTCACGCGATCCTTGAACAACAATTGGGATAGTATTAGGCTCAGAATCTCAGGGGGAACGTCATCGGACCAATTATTATTCCTTATAATAATCACTTTCCTTCTCGAGTACGAATAATTTGATGTTGTTAACCTTAACCAATCTCCAGCCGCCGCCATCGAATGGAATAACGGGTGATTATGATGATAAGTTGATTATAATTATCTAAGAAATTGTCTCTCGGCAATGGAAGTTCATGAGTTTATATATTACTTATAATTACCAGTGTTTGGTATGAAAAGATATTGGGAGGTCCCATCACCGATGATTCTCAATTGATGATTATTTATCAGTTTTACGATAATGCCATATGAATATCTTCCAAATTAATTTGTTAGCAATGGCAATGAAGTAATATCCCTAATTTGGCATTCGTATCATGTTGGTTTTCCCAAACAGATAAAACAAAGGCCATATAAATTTACTCTATTATTACATTGGTTTTTAATAAAAAAAAATCTAGAATTCACGGTATATATGGATTCCTTTCCTAGTAATTGAATTATATGAGCCTATATTGTGTAGGAATATATATGGATACTGACATATTTAACGGGGTGCTATTTCT